TTGCTTAGACAATGTATACTAAAGTAAATAAGGGCACTAGAAATTGTTCAAAATATTAAGAGAAAAAGGTTCTACAATCATGATTCTTTTTTAAAGATGTTTATTACTTTTTATTTATGTGTGTGCCTGGCTGAGTTTATGTGCACCACACACAAGCAGTGCTCATGGAGGCCAGAGGAGGGTGCCAGATCCCCTTGAACTGTTGTTACAGGCAGTTATGAGTCTCATGTGTGTACTGAGAACTCAACTCCAGTCCTCTGCAAGTGTGGTAAGTGCTTTTAATTGTTGAACCATCTAGCCTCATGATTCCCTTTTTTTTCTGTTTGTTTTAAATTGTTATTTTATGTATATGAGTGTGTTCCTTGCATGTATGTAAATGCACTTGTGTCATGCAATGTCTACTGCAGAGGTCAGAAGTGGGCATCGGACCCCCTGGAACTGGAACTACAGATGGTTGTTAGCCACCATGTAGGTGCTGGGAACCGAACCCAGGTCCTCTGCAAGAGCAACCAGTGCTCTTAACTGCCGAGCCATCTCCCCAGCCGCCCCTCATCCCCGCCCTTTTTGTTTTTTGAGACGGGTCTTACCATGTAGCCCTGGCTGACCTGGAAGTTGCTATGTAGACCAGGCTAGCCTTAAACTCACAGAGAGTCACCTGCCTCTGTCTCCCAAGTGCTAGGATTAAAGGCATGCACCACCATGCCCGGCTCATGTTTTCCTTTTTGAAATAAAACGGAATAACACGGCATAAATATATGCTAGAAATGTTTTATTTAGAGAAATTTTAATGACATAGAAAGAAAATGTTACAAACAATAATAAAACACACATTTCTCACTGCCCAAAGAGTAAACTTAATATTTTGCTATATTTAATCACAGTTTGTATTTTAAAGAAATAAGCAGAGTCCCTGGTGGGGACAGCCCAGCATAGTGCTCCTGGCCAGATTTGGGTAGCCATAATCAGGGACTTTTAACTCCTGTCCATCTTTAGCTAGAGGCTTGGCTCTAAGTGACTATTTC